GTGCGGCGAGTCACACCTGTAATCCCAGCACTTTGGGAAGGCCGATGTGAGCGGATCACCTGAGATCAGGAGTTTGAGACCAGCCTGGCCAACATGGTGAAACCCCATCTCTGCTAAAAATACAAACATTAGCTGGGCGTGGTGGTGCACGCCTGTGATCCCAGCTGCTGGGGAGGCTGAAGCAGCAGGAAAATCACTTGAAGCTGGAGGTGGAGACTGCACTGAGCCAAGATCACGCTTCTGCATTCCAGCCTGGGTGACAGAGTGAGACTCTCTCAAAAAAATAAAAATAAATGTCTGCTAGGCTGGGCGCAGTGGCTCACGCCTGTAATCCAAGCACTTTGGAGGCTAAGGTGGGCGGATCACCTGAGGTCGGGAGTTCAAGACCAGCTTGACCAACATGGTGAAACCCTGTCTTTATAAAAAAAAAAAGAAAAGAAAAATGTCTGCATTATACGAAGGTGGATAAAAGACCGAGCTGAGTGTGGTGGCTCACTTCTGTAATCCCAGCACTTTGGAAGGCTGAGGTGGGAGGATCACTTGAGGTTAGGAATTCAAGACCAGCCTGGGCAACAGAGGGAGACCCTGTCTCAAAAAAATTTAAAAATAAGCCAGGTTTGGTGGTGGCACCTGTGGTCCCAGCTGCTCAAGGAGGCTGAGGTGGGAGTATCGCTTGAGCCTGGGATGTTGAGGTTGCAGTAAGCTATGACTGCACCACTGCACTCCAGCTGGGCAAACAGAGCAAGACCGTCTCTAAAGAAACAAGAAAGAAACCCAAAAGTGGATACAGAGCAGAATTTCCGCTATCTGAAATGTATGCGTATTTATGTATTCTGAGTCTTTGATAGGAATGTATTTCTGTTAAAACCAGCAAGAGGCAGCATGCTTTTCTTATGTACTTGGCGTGGAGGCAATGTGGGGTGATCCTAGGATTAAGTGTGGTACATCTGGTGTTTCAAGATCCACCTCTACTGGTTGGGAGAACTTGGAAACATATGGAAGCTCTGTGCCTCAGTTTCCTTTTATTTATTTTCGAGACAGCGTGTCACTCTGTTTGCCCAGGCTGGAGTGTAATGGCACGATCTCAGTTCACTGCAAATTGCACCTCCTGGGTTCAAGCAATTCTCATGCTTCAGCCTCCCAAGTAGCTGGGAATACAGGTGTGCGCCATCACTTTGTATTTTTAGTAGAGACGGGGTTTCACCATGTTGGCCAGGCTGGTCTCAAACTCCTCAAGCAATCCACCCGCCTTGGCCTCCAAAAGTGCTGGGATTACAGGCATGAACCACCATGCCTAGCTCTTTTTTTCTTTAAAGACAGGGTCTTGCTATGCTACCCAGGCTGAGGTACAGTGGCATGATCTCGGTTCACTGCAGCTTCTGCCTCCCAGGTTCAAGTGATTCTCGTGCCTCAGCCTCCTCAGTAGCTGGGATTACAGGCATGAGCCACCACACCCAGCTTTTTGTATTTTTAGTAGAGACAGGGTTTCGTCATGTTGGCCAGGCTGGTCTTGAACTCCTGGCCTCAAGTGATCTGCCTGCCTTGGTCTCCCAAAGTGCTGGGATTACAGGTGTGAGCCACCTTGCCCGGTTCTCAGTTTCCTCATCAAGCACCTGGGGGATGGGAATGCCACTTTCATGGAATGGTCCTGAGGATGAGCAGAGGTGCCAGGCACGTCAAGAGCTGTGTACAGAGCCTGGCACATCCGAGTTCGTCGGTACATACCAGACAAGACGATTACTGGCCTCACTTTATTTTGTTGGCAGTGGTGCAATCATGACTCACTGCAGCCTCAAACTCCTGGACTCAAGCGATCCTCCCGCTTCATCCTCTTGGGTAGCTGGGACTACAGGCACACACCACCACATCCACCTAATTTTTAAATTATCTGTAGAGATGGGGGTCTCGCTATGATGCTTAGGCTGGTCTCAAACTCCTGTCCTCAGGCAACCCTCCCAAGTTGGCCTTCAAAAGTGCTGGGATGACAGGTGTGAGCTACTGTGCCCCTCCCTAAAGACACTTTTTTTGGTCTTTTTTCCAATAGTCTGTTTTCTCAAAGATGCTTTTCTAATACTGAAATCTGATGCTCACACTCCCCTGTTCAAACTCTATGCAGTTCACCAGTAAGCTCTTACAGGATGCCATCCCAACTCCAATGCCTGGCACTGCCTTCCCTAGCCAGCCCCACCTCTGCTTTCTAGAGACTCTCCAGGGCTCCGGCCACACCAATTGACAAGCCCTGGCATATAATGGGTTGCTGTGTATTCTTTGGGATTGCAGTTCACCCTGCCTGGAATGCTCTGCCCCGGGTCCCTGGGGCTGACTCTCCACTGGCCTTCCAAGCCAGGCTGTGGTCCTGGTACTCTCCAGGCACCCAGCCTCATCACCACCCTGTGTGTGGCACCTCTAACCCTCTCACCATACAAAGCTCCCTTCACCACAGTTACTGTCTAGCTCCCTCCACTGCAGTTACTGTCTGGCTCCGTATCTGACTGCTAGTTCTGTCCCTGTCATCCTCTTTGTCCCCCCAGGGCTTGCACACAGAGCCTGGAACAGCAGTTCCATCTTCCTGCATGCTGCACGTTTGAAGGGGCAGGAACTGCTTTGTGTCTGAGAGCAGCACTTGTCAAAGCCATGTCGGGAAATCCCAAAGCCACACCCTAGAGTTCACAGACTTGGAGTTCCAAACCCAGAGGCATTGCTAGGGCAAAAACAACTATTAGAAGAGAAGGGAACCAGAAGCTGTGGATTTTGTAGGGTTTAACAGGAAATGCAGGCAAGTGGTGAAGGGACAATTAGCCATGAAATTGAAGGGAAATGTGCCAGCTTTTGTTGATGTGATAGGAAAGGAGATCACTGGGTCTGTAGTTGCTACTCATTAGCAGTTTGCAAGGCTGGGAGGAGAATGCAAGTGGCCTCAGTTGACCAGGGGTCAGGAGGGTTTACCTGAGCCACATCTCTTCATGGTTGATGAGGCATGAGGTTGCACCCCAGTATTCCCTGGGGAGGGGCTGTCACCTTATGGTGCCTGGACAGCTGCCCCCATGAGCGATGGCCTCCTCACTGCCTACCAGGACCTCTACTGGCTCCAAAGCCCTTGGCCACTCCTGGTCAGTCTCCACTCTTTTTTTTTTTTTTTTTTTTGATATGGAGTCTCCCTCTGTTCCCAGGCTGGAGTGCAATGGCAGGATCTCGGCTCACTGCAACCTCTGCGTCCTGGGTTCGAGTGATTCTCCTGCCTCAGCCTCCAGAGTAGCTGGGATTACAGGCACCCACTCATCTTGCCCAGCTAATTTTTGTATTTTTAGCAGAGATGGGATTTCTCCATGTTGGCCAGGCTGTCTTGAACTCCTGACCTCAGGTGATCCACCTGCCTCAGCCTCCCAAAGTGCCAGGATTACAGATGTGACCCACCGTGCCTGGCACTGTGGTGTGTACCTGTAGTCCCAGCTACTCATTAGGCTGAGGTAGGAGGATCTCTTGAACCCAGGAGGTTGAGGCTGCAGTGAGCAGCACTGCATCACTGCACTCCAGCCTGGGCAACAGAGTGAGACTCTTTCCAAAATATATATATACACACATATATATGTACGTATATATATAATGATCCCTTATTAAATCGATCCCTTATTAAATTTAATGATCCCTTATTTAAAACATAATGAGGCTGGGTGCAGTGGCTCAGACCTGTAATCCCAGCACTTTGGAAAGCTGAGGCAAAAGGATTGCTTGAAGCCAGGAGTTCGAGACTGGCTTGGCCAGATAACAAGATCGCATACAAAATTTTTAAAAATTAGCTGAGCATGGTGGCGTGTGCCTGTGGTCCCAGCTACTGAGGAGGCTGAAATGGGAGGATGGTTTGAGCCCAGGAGGTCGAGGCTGCATTGAGCAATGATTGTGTTACTGCACTGTCCCTGGGTGACAGAGCAAAAGAGCCCCCTCTGCAACCCCCCTACAAAAATTTTTTTTAAAAATTAAAAAGGCGCGGTTCGAGAAGAGTTGTAGTAGTCCCAGAGCTACAATGCAGGTGAGAGCAAAGTACAGGTGAGAAAACTGGAGACAGAAAACAGTAACCACTACAGGTGCCTTTGAAAAGGTGCAGAGGCACTACGGACGGAAGGAATCCTAAATGTTCCAATCGTTCGTTTTAAAGTTGTCCTGGCAAACCCGTGAAGCCAGGTATGAGGAAATGTTTCAACGAGGGCGCCTGACGCGGTCCCAGAAGTCAGACAACACCCAGGTTTAGATGCGAGCTCCAACCCACACCTGCCACCGCCAAACCCTGGCCCCTTCTGAGCCCGGTCCCGTGTTGGCCTCCAGGGGTAAGCAAAGCACCTGGCTGGGCTGCCTGAAGATTAAGGAAACTGAGGATACGCGGCAGGTGCCCAATATTTAGGATTTTGTCCCTAAACGGGGAAGTTATTTGTAAGCACTGGCCACGACCCCTGTAAATCGCCTAATTGTCTTTAAAAAAAAGGTAAACCGAGGGAATGCGCCGCAGCCGAGCACCTCGCAGGCCGTAGCTGGGGTGCACGCCCGGGTGTGCCCTTTGCACCGCTGGGAGCGCCAGCGATCGCGGGGGCAGAGAGCTGGGGTTGGGGCGGCCGGGGACCCACCCGGCCCCGCCCCTCCCAGGCCCCGCCCCCTTCCAAGGGTAGGGGGACCTCGGTTGGCCTTGGAGATCGGAGCGTAGGGGTAGGTGGGGGGTGCATCCCCAGGCCCTAAAGGTCACTGCCCTATGGGGCTTCTCTGGGTCGTGGTGGAGGTGGGGTCTCCCCACCCCTGTAGGTCTTAGAGCCCCGGCGAGGGCGCGGCGGGGCGGGGCGGAGCCCAGAGGCACAGTGGAACAGACGGCCTCCGGTGGGCGCGGCCACTTTAAGACGCCCCGCCGGCCCCGCCCCGCGCCCCGCCTCCCGTTAGCCACGTGACCTCGGTCTTGTGACTGGGTCCGGGAGGGCGGGGGAAGCCCGCGGCGAGCGCCCGCCCCGCCCCGCCCCGCCCCGCGTCTGCCTCAGAGGGCCCCGAGACGCCCGGTCCGCCGCGTCTGCTGCCGCCGCGTCCCCCGCCGGGGCCGACCGAGCCGAGCCGGGCCGGAGCGGCGGGCGCGGCCGGGCCGCCATGGACCACAAGCCTCTGCTGCAGGAGCGGCCACCCGCCTACAACCTGGAGGCCGGCCAGGGCGACTACGCGTGCGGCCCGCACGGCTACGGCGCCATCCCCGCCGCGCCCCCGCCGCCGCCCTACCCCTACCTCGTCACAGGTGGGCCCGGAACCAACTTTCCCCGCCGGCCGCTTCCGGGGGGTGCAGGCCTGGGCGGGGGACGCGGGTCCAGAGGCCGGTGGGGCCCGCCTGGGGGTCCTTCCTGGAGCTGGGGGTCCCCGGGCGGGCTTCGGGACCCTGCGCTGCCGAGGGTCACGTCCTCCGGCTCATGGTACGCGGCGAGGCCGGATCCCTACCCCAGATGAACTTTGAGTCACGAGGCGCTCGCTGTTGGCAGATTAGCTCCGAATCAGGCCCGCGGTGGCCGTCCCGAGGGTGGAAAGGACCGGGGGCTTTTTTAGGGGGTGGTGGAGGTGGGGGTACAGGAAGAGTAGTCCCTGTCGCGGTCGGATCTCTCCTCCCTGCCCCCTGATGACCTGCCTTCCCGCCCACAGGGATACCCACCCACCACCCCAGGGTTTACAACATCCACAGCCGGACCGTCACCCGGTACCCTGCCAACTCCATCGTGGTCGTGGGAGGCTGTCCCGTCTGCAGGTGAGTGGGTCTGCAGCCTGGGGACTAGCCCTGGAAGCGCTGAGGACCCCCGCCCTACCCCACAGGACCTCACAAAGTCAGCTCTTCTTGTGGGAGTGGGTCCAGCTTGACTTGGATCTTAACCAGAGTCCTTTATGGGAGGGACCGACAGGGTGCCGTGTGCGGTGTGGGAGAGCGTGGGTCAACTCACCCTTGGCTCCGAACACATTTTGTGGGGGTGAAAAAAAAGGGTGGGTTCTTTTTCCTGCGGAGGTGAATGCATTGTGGGGCATTGCACCCCAAGCGATTGGGATGTAGGAATGGTAACGGGACTCGTGGTCTTTCCGTCTTTGTTCTGGGACTTGCAAGGAATCAGGTGTTTCCATTTTCATCCAGTTTCCGAAAGTTTACTCTGCAGCTGATTGTCGAAGGTGGTGGAAGGTTTCGTTTTCCCGGAAGGGGCATTTGGATTAAGTGCACCAGCAGGAGAGACCTCAGTGGGAGAAGCGACGACTGTAAGAGCCGCTTTATCCAAAGCTGGCTTGAAATGCTCTTCCATGAGCTGGACCCGGATGGAAACCCGGTGTTTGTTTGAGGCAGGAGGGATTTTTTTTTTTTCATATTATCACATTGGAATTGCACACCCTTTCTGGTTTTCATAGGGTCCTGAGTTGCAGCTAGAGGCATGTTTTGTGGAGGTTTTGAGGATTCAAATTTAAATAAGAATTAATTAAATATACTCCTTGGCAGCTGGGGGTATTCACATTGCTTTGAAAGTCAGGGTGGAATTGGCAGGGTTTTTAAAGCCTGTGTCTGAGAGGAGGAAGTTGAAGCCTTTTAGATGGAATTAAGAAACCCTGGTTTGGACTTAGACTTGATTTCAAAAGTGTGTGTGTAAGGCCTAGAGCGGAATCATGGGGAAGTGAGTGGTTTCACAGCCGTAGCCGGTGACTTCCTGGGAAGCGGGAGGGCATCCCAGAGGTGGAGACAAGAGGCTGGGATCCTGGGGCAGGTTGTGGCTGCTTGCCCTCATGGGGACCCCATGACAAACCCTAACTGGGACATCAGTTTGACACAGTTGGTCACCACCCAGCAGAAACATTGGCCTTTGGAGTGGAGGTGGAGGGAGGGCAGGGTGGGGCACTGGCTGCCTCCGGGACAGTTCTCTCTGGGAGCTGCACCATGTTGGGGGGCCGGCAGAGCTGTGTGGGTGTGAAGGGACTCAGAACATGGAGGGGGCAGAGGGTCTGTGCCCTGCCATCGCAGTTTCCAGCCTGCTGGAGTAGCTGGGTTCCAGTCCTGGCCCTGCCAGGAACCGCGGGGCCTGTTTCCCCACCTGGGACATGGCGGTGTCTCTGAAGCTCTTTTTCTGCCCAAGCCCCTGAACTTGGAGAGGTGGGAAACCAGCAGCAGCGAGGGATGGCCCAGATATCCCAGGGCTGGGGGGTGCCCAGGTGGTGGTGCAGTTGCTGTCAGGATGGGGGTGCTGGCTCTGCCACTTCCTTGTCCTTGTGGAGGCCTGCAGCTTCCGCTGACACGGCGGTGCTCCCCAGTTATGCAGAGCCTGAAGCTGGGTCAAGCTGTGCTCTGCTCTGTTGGGGAGGACCTTGGGCTTGGTCCCCAGAGGCTGTAGGGGTGGGGCCCTCGGTTACTTGATCACTGTGTTCTTTGCCCCTGGGCAGCTGCAGCAGGCAGGGAAGAGGCCGGGTCCTCTCTGGACAAGGTTGGGGGGTCTGTAGGCCTTTAAGTTGGGATCAGAGCACTCTTTGATCCTCTGGGGACCCCCTTGAGTTGGTAGCCAGGCCCTCCCAGCACACGCATCCTTGCCCTCTGCCCATGGTGCCCTGGATGCTGGAGAGTGGCCCTGGCTTCCCAAGGTGTTTTTGTGCCTTTGCAGCAGCATAGGGCACCTGTGTGCCCTACAGCAGCCAGGGGGTGAGCAGGGGGCGAGCAGGGGGCTGGGTTCTCTGCTGCTGGCATGGGGAGGGGATGTGTGGTCTCTCGGCCTCTCCTCTCTTCGAGGAGAGTGAAGATGGTTCCCTGAACACATGCACGTTTCAGGACTGGGAGACAGGACACCGCTCACATGACCTCACTTCCTCCTGCCCCAGGTCCAGCCTGCTGGGCTCTGTTCCCCTCCCTGCCTGGTGGCATGGCAGGAATTTGCCCAAGTCACACGTTTGTTAGTTCCTCTGAGTGAGGCTTGGCCAGAGAAGCCCGTGTCCCTTGTGGCTCTGCTGCCCTGGCCAGGCCTCTGCTGAAGTGCCCTGACTCTGTCTGCCTTTTTTAGCAGTTTATGAGGAAGCATTTCCGCAGCCCGGCAGCGGATACATCCCTGCTTCTCCCACCCTCCTGCTTCACCTCTGCCGCGCCCTGCCCGAGGCCTGGGCTGCTCTGAAACCAGGTTCTCCCTTGCCCAGGGAGGCCAGTCTTTGCTCGCGTGGGGGTGTGGCTGTCCCTAGGTGCAGGATGAGGTGGTTGCACTGGGGTCTCCCATGGGCTGGAGCGGAGCCTGGGCCCTGCAGCCTGGGGAGGCAGGAGTGGGGAAGGTCAAGGCAGCGCTGACTCCCATGAGTACTGTACTGGCTGGGCTGTCATTGGGTATATAGTTTCTGGGTTGACCAGAGAGATAGGAAATCCTGTAAAGTGGAGGGTTACAGAAACCAAGGGGAAGGGAAAAGAACAGCTGTGGAGGGCACATGGTGCCCAGAGGTCCTAGGTGTGGCTCAGTGGCCAGTGTTGAGGCTGCCGGGGCCTTTGAGGTGCAGAGGCGGGCTGTGGAGGGCATGGGCAGTGGGGGAAGACTGTGGAGTCTGGGAAGGGCTTAAGGGGAAGGAGGCTGTGAGAAAGCCTTGGGCTTTCTGATGATGGTTGTGGAGGGGCTGCTCCCTCCTGCCACCTGTGACCTGAAGCCAGTTGGTTGAGGAAGTGGCTGAGTTGGCCAGAATGGCCTGCCCATATGCATAGCCTGTGGGCTGTCCCTGACCTGACTCTCCTGGCCTGAGGTGTGGGGGCATTGCTTGGCTCCAGGCTGCTTGCTGGGGAGGGCTTTGGACCTCGGGGCCCAGGTATGGCCTCCAGGGCCTCCGGAGTCCCTGACCTTGGACTCAGACCCCAGCTGTAGGCCAGGTGGCACTGCTGGAGTGGGTGGGTGTGGTGGCAGGCAGAGTCTCCAGGCACCTGCCCAGGCCTTTCTTCTGCAGGGGAGGCTTGGGCTGGCCCTGGCCATTGGGTTTGTTGAGAATGGCCCTGGGAGGTTCTGGTGAACTCTCCCAAAGCGAGGCAGCTCCCCCTCGAGAGCTGCTTTGAGGCCACCTCTCCCTGCCCGGAGTGTGACTTCAAGCGCACAGCCCTCTGAGGAAGCCCTGTGTCCCCTTTTCCTGGCAAGGCCCGGTCTTCCAGCGGGGTGGTGGTCTGGGGTTGCTCCTGGGCCTAGATGGTTCCATGAGGCCACTGTGGGCTCAGAGGGCAGCTTGGTGCCCTGGGGCCAGCCCCCTGTGACACTGACTGCCTTTGGGGCCTGCAGGATGGGTGTCCATGACTCGGGAGCCCATCTGGGTTCAGATCTCAGCCATGTCCTTCCCGGCTGGGAGGCCCTGGACACACCCTGGCTTCAGCCTCCAGTAAAGTGCCTGTGGGGAAACAGGGAGGGGCAAGGATGGCCCTTTCCCCGGGCAGCTCAGAGCCCTGCTCCCAGCCCTCTCTGTCCCTGGTGAGGCGGGAGCCCCTCGGGCTCCGCTGCCATTGGGCTCCACTGCAATGGCAGTGGCACAATTGGCCACTTTCCCTGCAAGGTTGGAGTCGCCTTAAGGGAGTGCTCTCAGTATTAGTCAGTTCCCTAATATCCCCGGTGGCCATGATCCCTCCATGGCCCTGGCCTGCCTATTGCGCAAGAGTGGGGGAGGGGCAGCTAGAGGGAGCAGGTCAGGATGGGAATGGTTGAGAGGGTTGACACCCACCCAGCCAACCCAGGTGGGCCCTTCTGGGTTTAGAAGGGAAGAGAACTCGAGGCTGGCGGGGATGGCAGCTGTTCTGGAGCAGGGGTTCCCCCTCTCCCCTCCGGCGCTGGGGATGGGCCTGCCCTGCAGCTTGGGGAGTCTTGGTCTAGAAGCTGAATTGTGTTTCTCAGTTCAGAAGATTTGGGGTTTTAAAAAACTAAATGATGCCGACATTCCTTTTGAGGTCTAGGGCAGTACTGCAGTTAAAACTAATATTTCTGCAGCAAGACATGAATATTCAGATAAAGTAGGATAAATGACGCTATAAATAGCCACACACCAGTGCAGGTCACATGTTGCTGCCAGGTGAGTTTGCTGTCAAGTGACAGCTAGTTCTGCCTTCAGCGCCTCTTGGCGTTTGAAGTTGTGCGTACGGCTGTGGAATACTGGGGGTAGGGTATGCTGCCCACCCTCGGGCCGACCCCAGAGCCAGAGTTGAAGGCAGAGCTCTCCTGGTCAGCCCTCAAAAGCCCGTTCAGAACCTTCAGGCCCAAGTGCTTGTTCTCCCAGGCAGGGGTTCTGGGGTCTGGATCACAGCTTCCTGTTGCTGGTAGAGGCCTGAGCCTCTTGGGGTGACTGGATCTGTCCAGCTCCCTGGCAGCACCGAAGGGACAGCCTCGTTCTGCCCAGAGACCCAGTGGCCTTGGCCCTCTTTCCCTCTTTAAGCAGCTTTGGGGGGGGGGGGGGGGGGGGGAGTTGAGTGGACCTGGGATGGGGAGGCTGCCCTAGGAGGTGCCAGAGTGGGTGCCTGGACCAAGTGGCCCAGCCTTGTGCTCTGGCTGAGGATGTCATGGGTCTGGACAGAAACTCCATGGGTTAGGAGGGTGTTCCCCTGTACTTGGGAGGCTGTGGGGTCAGCACGTTAGATTTGGCCATTGTGCTGCTTGCAGCCTTGGGGCTGGGAAGCAAGGTGCCAGGGCCTGGGTGGGCAGGGCTGGCGCTGCTGGAAATCCTAGCGCTTAGGTGGGCCGGTGCCCTGGCCCATGGCAGTGGGAATCCAGCAAGAGTGAGCAGCCTTCCTGCACTTGCTCAGCTCTGACAGTGTAGGTGGGTTTTGGGGTCTGGATGGAGAACCAGGGAGGAGGCAGGAGAGCGCTGCTGCCCTTGGACTCCTGTGCCAGCGGAGAGCAGCAGCCACAGGTGGGAGGCCGGTGTGGTGGGGTCACCATGTGGCACCACCCCTGCCCACCCCACCATCACACCCGGATGCCTCTGCTGTGCCCCATGGGCGGACTCCAGCCCGGGCTCCCCACCCACACTCCTTTGCCCAGCCTCCTCCCAGGCACCTCTGGGCCTTTGAGCGGGCAGTCAGCTCCGCCCACAACTTTGCCTACAGCCCTACCCCTCAGCAGCTTTGGTCCTGAGGCAAGGTGCTCAGATGGTCACGGATTGGGCCGACTGAGGGGGTGCGGGTGACACTCACTGGGGGCCACTCCAGGGGAACGGTCTTCTCTCATGGAAGGATTTCTCAGCCTGTTCACCCTCCTGTTTGCTTTTTCATGGGACATTTTCTAACCAGAACATAAAGCTAGTGTGTTTTTTGGGGTCTGAACTATAGATGCCAGGAAGAAACAGGAAAAGGAAGCCCAGATGCTCCCTTGAGAGGCCAGCGGCCACTGGCTACCCCCAGCTCCCCAGAGCCTGTCGTGGCCATCTGCATGTGTGGGGATACAGCTGTGCTCAGCCTTCCTGAGGCTTCCGCACTGTGGCAGTGTGGTCTTCGGAGCTGCGGCAGCTGGGGTTTCTGTCCACCTGACACCTGGGGGAGAGGGTCCTGAGGCCAGGCAGGGCGTGCTGTGCTCAGCAGGGCTGGGCGGAGGTGTCCTGCCCAGTCTGGACTGGTGGGGGCAGCCTTAGACAATACTGAACAAGTGTGGTGGCCTGACGACCTTGTGGTGCTTAGACAGGGGACACTAAAAAGTCCACACAAGAAATGGAAACTTTGCTGACAGACTCACGTTTTCTGATGGGCTTTGCCTTGGAGCAGGGCTTCCCGGTGTGCTCTGCAGCCCAGCCCAGCCCAGCCCCTCCACACAGACAGGTGGCATCATGTGAGTTTGGGAAACACTGGGTACAGGAGCGCTGCAGGACTTCTCAGAGCCTTTCGAGAACTAATAGGCATAGGGACTGTCTAGGAGACAAGGAGAAAAGTTTCCCAAAATTGGCTGAACAAAGAATCCCCCTTTTCCAAATTCGTACCACTGTGTCTAATTTTTAATTTTTGTAGAGATGGGGGAAGGTCTCACTTTGTTGTCCAGGCTGGTCTTGAACTGCTGACTTTAAGCGATCTGCTTCAGCACCCCAAAGTGCTGCCATTGCGGGAGTGAACCCCCCGACCCAACCTCCTTGGAAATTGCTGAACGGAGCTGCTCGAGTAGGTTGGAGGGAGGCAGTGGGCAGGAAGTTTGACTTTTTCTTTAAGCAGTGGAAAGCCCGACTTCAGAATACCCTGGTTTGTTTTACCATACTCCCTGGAGAGGCAGGAACAGGTTCCGTGGGTGGGGTTTCTGGTCCCCAACCTGCCTTGCTGAGCAGGGGCAGGGGCAGCAGCCCTCCTGAGTCTGGACCCCCAGGAAGCAGCTTGGAAACATTCAGGGTGCTGGAATGGGAGTAGGGTCCCCTGGGTGGCCAAGTTTTCTCCCCTTAGCAAGGCACTGCTAGTCACTGACACTTCCTTGTCGTAGCAGGGGACCATGCCAACCTTGCTGTAGGCTCCCCTTCCCCAAAGCCCCAGCTCCCATCACCTGTCAGATACCCCCACCCTGCTGTGTTGTTCTTTCCACTTACCTCAGTACTGGCTGGGTGGGGGAATTTGGGGTCCCAGGAGACCCAGAAGGCGCTTGTTAGGGTCTGCCAGTCTGGTGAGAATGAAGCTTTTCTCATTTGGCCTGAGCTGGCTAGTGTGGTCTTTAATTTCAGCTGTGTCCAGAATTTTCCAGAAATAGCCTGAGGAGCTGAGCTGAGCACACAGCTCCTGGCTTCTTACCTTTGGGGCCTCTGAAACTGACACTTGGGTTTGATGATTTCGGGTCATTGAACCTGTGCTCACAGGCGCAGGATTTGGGGGATGGCCTGCAGGTCTCTTAGTTTAGTCTGTTACAGATATTAAACTTTGTTGAAGAGTTGGCTTTGAGATCACATTTCTCAAAATAAGTGGCCTTCAGACATTGTGTGAACATGGCCGACTATGAGCTCCCGTTAACACACTCCCACTACCAAAGGAACAGAAACCAAACAAAACCCCAAACCTGACCGGATCCCCAAGCTGCTGGTTGCTCCTTTTCTAAGAGCAGATGTGTGGTGGCTTGTGGCACTGAAATGATCTTGCCTCTCAAGGTTTTACTTTATTTATTTATTTTTTTTGAGACAGAGTCTTGCTCTGTTGCCCAGTCTGGAGTGCAGTGGCTCTATCTTGGCTCACTGCAACCTCTGCCTCCTGGATTCAAGTGATTCTCATGCCTCAGCCTCCCAAGTAGCCGGGACTGCAGGCTTGTGACATCATACCTGGCTAATTTTTAGTAGAGGTGGGGTTTTACCATGTTGGCCAGGCTGGTCTCAGTGACCATTCCTGACTTCAAGTGATATGTCTACCTTAGCCTCCCAAAGTGCTGGGCTTACAGGCATGAGCCACCATGTGCCTGGCCTTGCCTCTCAGGGTTAACTGATGAGAGCTTTCAACTGTTTTCCTCTTCCTCCTTTTTTCTGAATGTTGCATGTAGGGATTAAATAGCAGCTATGGCCATTCCATGAATGGGCACATATAGACCGTTCTTGGGGCTCTCCAGGCCAGTGGGCTGGGTGAGGGGAGTGGCAGGGGCTGTATTTTCAGGTAGATGGTCACTGTCACTCACCAGTGGTCCCCATTTCCATCATGGCCACTGGTCGGTCCTTGAGTGTAAGGCTGGGAGGGTGAGGGTTCCGGCGCCCGCCCAGGTCCTGACCGCACTGCCCTTTCTGCTGCAGGGTCGGGGTGCTGGAGGACTGCTTCACCTTCCTGGGCATCTTCCTGGCCATCATTCTGTTTCCCTTTGGGTTCATCTGCTGTTTCGCCTTGAGGAAGCGAAGATGCCCCAACTGCGGAGCCACCTTCGCTTAAAGGGAACACCACGCCCGGCTTTCCTACATCCAGCTCTCTTTTTCTAATGTAAATGTCGTGTACAATAGTTTTATTTGATTCAGCTTCAGGACTGTTTTGTAAAGCGAGGTGGGACCGGTGTGGCACACGCCAGCTGCAGTTTCCTGAGCGTGGAGAGGCAGAGCTGCTGCTCCCGCCTGAGGCTCATGACAACTCAATAAAGCACTGCTTTTATTTTTTGCAGTCTTCAATTTGAGAAAGGTGAGAAATAACGTTTTCAATAAATGAGATTCATACCATTGTTGACCTGGTGCTGCTTACTCCGTGATTTCAAACACCCAGGAAAGACTGGAGGGACGCCTGCACCGCTGCCTCAGTGTCCCCGGGCCGGTCATGACCACCTTGTATTCCTCCGTAGGCACTTACAGCTCAAGAAGGTATGCTTGTTTTCAAGTTCTTTATTATTAAAATTAAACATAACCCCTTGACATTTACAGAGCAGGCACCTCAGTGCCAAGGACAAGGCCATCCCCCCGGTTCTGGTCTGTGAGGTGGAACCTGGGGCTGCATCTGAGACCGCCCAGGCCCCATTCTCCTATCCTGTAACAAAACCAGAAACATCGCCAAGGTAGGGCACCAAAGGTAGTTCACCCACACCCTGCAGTTCCCCACGGCTGCAAATGGGGCTCCCTGAGGCCTGCTCTGACATCTGAAGTGGGGAACACAGCCACAGAGGTCTTGTGGACTGAATTCTTACGTGGCCACAGCTCCTTCTGTAGAACAGACCTGGAGGCTAACACAGTTCATGGTGCTTGTGGCCCTCCATGGGGCTTGCCTGGTTTGTCCTACCAAGAGAGGCAGATGGCGACACTGCTCTACCTGGCTAGAAGGAGCCTGAAGCGTCACCCCTGTCCACTGGCTTACCTGCATGTGATCTTTCCCAATTTCCACCTCATAGGAAAACAGTACACTATGGCAAGGCCAGAGGAGAGGTGAGAAGTCCCAGTGCCCCCAACACAAGGTGAGCAGCCAGGTTGGTAATCTGTCACCCAGGCTGAAGTGCAGTGGCGTGATCTCAGCTCACTGTAACCTCCGCCTCCTGGGTTCAAGTGATTCTCCTGCCTCAGCCTCCCGAGTAGCTGGGATCAAAGGTGCCTGCCACCATGCCGGGCTAATTTTTCTATTTTTAGGAGAGACTCCTGACCTCAGGTGATTCTCCTGTCTTAGCCTCACAAGGTGCTGAGATTCCCATACCTGAGCTGGGCTGGGAATTTAGCCATGATGCTCCACTCCAAAATAGGTCCAGATCCTTGGCAGCCAGAGGTGAATTCCAGCCCGGGGCTCAGGGCAGCCACCGCTGAGTCCTCACGTCCACGCTGCAGGGCTGGGTTCTGAGTGTGTCACGGCTGCTGGGCTGAAAACCCACCCTCTCCAGGCACCAGAGGTCACGTGGGCTTTATGCACATCCTTTGAGAGTCTGACCTGACTGAAACATGGAGAAACTGGGACCCCGAGAAGTTTGAGTGTATTGGTAATGGATGCAGCTTTGGCCAACTAGCTGAGTGAAAACACAGGAGCTGTGACTCCAACGCCCAGCCCCGTGTCCTGGATGAGCTGTGTGGCGAATCCAGCTGGTGACTCTTAACTACTGAGAAAAGGCTCTCCGGGAGGGGATTCCATCAAGTGCGACTGGTGGCTGTGATAAGGGCAGGCAAAATGTCTTAGCACTCTACAGCTCTGTAGGAGTTGGAGGGAGCAGGGTTTCTCCATCTCTGGAAGCTCCACATTTCATTAAAGTTTAAAAATTTTTAGTTAAAAAATTACATGTATATAGTATTTTCATAATTTATATTGCTTAAAATTATGATTTGCATGCTAAGATGCAAACTTATGTGATATTTTCTTTAGCTAGACATAATGCTACTAAGAGCACATACTTTATAAAACTGGTCTCATTTGCGTCACGTGCAGAAAGCCAGTCATGAAAGCATAGACTATCCCTTATTCTGGCTTTATTAAGGAAAAAAATTCATTAAAAAAATACAGTAAAGATTGAAACCATGCTCATTGCTTCTTGAACAGAATAAAAAGAAAATATTTTAAATGATTGAGTTGGTCATTAGACTATTACTCAGTTATCTTAAAGGCAGAAACGTGTCAACCCAACTATGTGAAACAGAAGCATGATTTGCTCAGTCAGGCTCCTCCTTTGAAGCTTCCCGACAGCACGAGGCAGACAGGACGTGCCCATCATTCCAAAAGGGAGAACAGGAGAGGCCCCGGAGAGTCCTTGGCTGTCTTCTCATCGAATGATGGGCGCTGAGCGATCATTTGTCACGGTCGGGCGGAGCTTCACAGTGGCAAAGGGGTTTTCTCCACTGCAGGGGATAAGAAAAATCTTTCAGAACTTCCTCTCCATGAGGGAAATTGGATTTTTGTTGATGGAATCTCACTCTGTCACCCAGGCTGGAGTGCAGTGGGGTAATCTTGGCTCACTGTAACCTCCACTTCCCGGGTTCAAGTGGTTCTCCTGCCTCAGCTCCCCCAGTAGCTGGGACTACAGGCGCGCACCACTATACCTGGCTAATTTTTGTATTTTTAGTAGAGATGTGATTTCGCCATGTTGGCCAGGCTGGTCTCAAACTCCTCACCTTGTGACCTGCCTACCTCAGCCTCCCAAAGTGCTGGGATTACAGGCGTGAGCCACCACACTTGGCCGAAATTGGATTTTAACAGCGCTAATAACCCATTCTTGCCCTGTGGAACTGTACTGCTGACCACCTGCCCAGCTTGTACAGGTCCCAGCAGTGTTTTCTGATGACAGTTTTGCTCAGTGCTGACTCCTATGCTACACCGCCCACTGCAGAAAGAGCCCAGGTTTTAAAGGTTCTGGACATGGGCGTTCACACCTCTTTAGCCCTGCATTGTGGGTGAGGTGGGGGCTGCTCTGGGGTGAGCAGGCCCTGCTCCCGGGGTGTTCTAAAGCGGGCGGTGAAGGGAGCAGAGGCCATGGTCCCCCACGGCCCCATAGGGCAAGGCCTTTCTCAGGCTGAACCTCCTGGGCACCAAAGGCCCTTCTGGGGGACACTACAGGGAAGAGCAAAGTCACATGCAGAGGCTCACATAGGAAGCCACACCTACCTGAGAAAAGGTGGCTTCGCAGTCCCGTTGGCATCATTCTGTAAGAAAGATAAAGAAGTTTATGGAGGGCTTGGAATTGGTCTTTTAAAAATTATTTTAGGTAGAGATGGGGATTTGCTATGTTGCCCAGGCTGGTCTCAAACTCCTGAGCTCAAGTGATCCTTCTGCCTCGACTTCCTAATGTGCTGGGACTACAGGTGTGAACCACCGTGACTGGCCTATATTGGAGATTTTTAATTTAAAGACCTGAAGGTAAAGGCATCTAAAACATGAGGGATGTTTAAAAGCGCCCCAACCCATATGGGAGACTGTCTACATTCACTTGGAAGAATAAGGCAAGAACAGAAAATGCTCGGCAGGGCAGTAAGGGTCCTCCCAGGTGTGAGAGCATGGCGCTGCCCGCTCACACCTGGGAGGTGTGAGATGTCAGGAGCTCACGTGTGAATGAGCAGTCTGCTAAACTTGGAAAGTTTCACATAATGAAGCTTGGGCAACAGAGAGACATCACAGAAGAAAACGTTTGTGCCAAACAGAACATCTCCGACTCGGGGGAGATGGAGATCCTGTAGGTCCTCAGCCCTGGCCTTTCGAGCGCAGAACCGATAGACTGGGTGTGCTTTTTGGGAGCTGACTCCTGAAGGATGACATGAAGAACAGGAAGTAAAAATAAAACCCTGTCAGCTTTGGAGGCTGCTAGAGCCAGGGGAAGCTGAAAACTGAGGAAAAGAGAAGATGGAACCAAAGTGCAAAGGGGCCTGCAGGGCTAGGTCCAGGTGTGCACCTTCTTTCCCTCGCTCCAAAAAGCCTGTAGGGTTTAACAGTCTTTCCAGCCTGCACACATGGAGCAGAGTCAGGTGGCTGTCCAGGAGAGGGCAGTGTAACACCGTGTGACCAGCAGAGGCCCGGCCTCAAGGTCCTGACAGCCCCAGGAAATGGCCCAGCACCCCCGGGGGTCTCAGGGAGCATGCAGACCTCTCGGCATCGACTCAGGTGCCCCGCTCTTGCCCGATGCCAGCTCTAGAGTGCAGGCCGTTCCTGGATGTGGAGGCCTGGGCCTGGCCTCCTCTGGGGTGGCCTCCACTAAGGCTGGGTGTACAGACTGGAGGCAGAAGGTAGGCCGCGGGCCCCAGAGGCATGGCCTAAGACCTGTCCTACCCTCTCCAGAGCCCCTGGGCAGAGCGGCCAGGCCCATCGGTGTCTGCTTCTGCACTGGAAGCCACTGGCTGGCCTTACACATCTTACAGGGCTTTAAATGGCTGCAAAAGTGATTTCTCCCTGTGGAGCACGCAGCACTTCCCCAGCAGGCTCGGAGGAAGTCCTTGCTGGTGTAAGGTTCAGGCTTTGCGATGCTGACAGGCTAATTTATGATTTTCATGCCCCAGAGTGCCTGTTGCGTGTGCTCACGGTGCTGGCGTCTGTGGACCCTGTTGCAGAAAGACTTCCTGTGGCCCAGAGGGCAGGCGGGAGGGCCGTGGCAGGGCCTGAGGCACACACTTCATGCCAAGCCCGACTTCACTTGGCCTTCCCCTCCTCTGCCACTGGAGTCATTTGACTCCTCGGAGCCAACACCGTGTCCCTCCCAAGTGCAGCTTCTGCTAGAGGAAGGCACTTCTCAAAGTGGAAACCAGAAACACCCTCCACCCAGCCCAAGCGCACCCCAGAGCTTGTTCACACCCCCCTGGGCCGCTAGGGGACTTTAAAATAGTCCCAGTGAATCCTTGCAAGGAACGCAGTAAGAGGCACCGACTCCTGCCAGGAGGACGGAGGGGGAAAAGAACACCTAAGAAAACAGCTTGAAGCCACTCAGAGTCGGGCCAACCCCGTGCACGCCTGGGGCCCAACAATCCTGTTCCCTGTAGGAACAAGCAGGGCACACGCCCATGGGCCCTGAAACACTCAGGCAGCCCTGGTGAAACAGCCCAGACCGGAAACACCAGACACCCATCCATGGGAGAGCCAGAACCGGCTTCTGTGCAGACGGTCACCTCACAGTGCCAAGCGACTGTCCCTCCCTACAGGGCCACCCTGATGGCCGTCTCCGTGCCGGGGCTCGTGGAGTCTGGCCTTAGAGAAGGGATGGTCATGGGCATGGACCACGCAGGGGGGATCCTGGGGGCCGGAAATGTCCTACTGGGTATGCAGAGTCACATCATGAAAATTCATCGTGCACTTTTCGGTCTGTGGTATTCCATAATACAGTGTTTCCTTTAAAATACGTATTGGACATGTTAAGGCAGATTTCCCCTTTAACAACTGCTTGTTTCTCAGGGAGCTGAAACCCCAGCACTCCCTCTGGATATGAGGCTGGCAGGAGCCTCTCTGCCTCCCTCTCCATGGCAAAGCAGACCCATGACAGCACCTCTTACCTGGTGGCCTCCAGGGGTCTCACAGCACCCTCCCTGCGTCCCTGACTCAACCGCTCACCTCCCACTCAGCCCACTGCGGTGGTCACCGTGCCCAGACCTGCCCTCTTCCCTGCTCCCTTTCCTTGCAGTGGGGACACCTCCAGGCCAGGCACTGCACTGCCGCTGGCACCCAGGGCCCCGCGGGCACTGCCTGCTGCATGTCCCGTGTCCCTATCAAGACAGGAGACCCCAAAGGCCACGAAACCAGTGGTTACTAGAGAGTGGGCTGGGCTGCAACTGGGGACTGGAGAGCAAGGCCACCAAGTGGCTGACTGTGGCCAGGGTGGACACACTTATGACCCCCCCCCAATCTCCCCCCAAGAATCCAAAATGCGTGTGTGGACACTGGCTGACTGCCCATTGCCCGGTGGCTGTTCCACTCCGCTTTCCCGCCTGTGCAGAGTTTCCGGGGTGACTGCCACAGGGCCATGAGCCCAGGGTGGGGGACTATTTGATCCGGCTTTCCGAGGGGGCCCAGGCAGCTCGGAGCGCCCAGCACCGCTTGTTCCTCAGGCCACAGCAGAGAATGCTGGTGGCCTTCACTGCAGAAGGCAGGACAGAGTGAACGGGGACAGCGCAGGGCGGCCTTGCTCCTGAGCAGAAAGAACATCTCTAAAGAACATTTCCAAGCCAGGTGGAGGTCAGTTACTGGCAACAGAAGCAGCCCTTGCTGATAACCTGTCTTCAGTGTGAAAACTCATTCCTGTCCTCCTCTGGGGGCCGGGCTTGTCTTCCAGTTCCCTTCTGATCTAGATCAACCCCTTTATTCTCAAAACGGGGACGCTGAGGCCCAAACAGGGAAAAGCCACTGTTCTGAGTCAGCGGGATCTTTTTGTAAGCCAACGTGCCCTCGTTTTAATGCAAACGAAGATGCATGCAGGCCTGCACACAGGCTCTGCTGCTCTCAGGAGGGGCTCATGCCGTGGTGAACACACACTGTGTAATGCGGGTTTGCTTTTAAAAAGGAGAGCTGTCTGCTTAATGTTGGAAGGGAGCCAACACTTCCTCACTTGGAACTGCAGGAGAGAATACGTAAGTTAAAAAAAAATGTAGGCTGGCCACGGTGGCTCACGCCTGTAATCCCAGCACATCGGGAGGCCGAGGCAAGAGGACTATCTGAGGCCAGGAGTTGGAGACTAGCTTGGGCAACATAGCGAGATCTTATCATTATTGCTCCCAACTCTAGTCCTAAACAGTCTCCCCTACCCCCTGGGGAGAAGCCCCTGCTCTCAGAGGGTCTAGGGCACCCCGTCACGGGACAGCAGTGGGACTTCCCAGGTAACTGGGCTACTCCATGGAGGCTGACTCTCTGTACATCTAAGCCTAAGCATTCCAGGGTTAAAATAAACTGCCTGTAACTGACAGTAGCTGTATGTAAAACTACGTAGAACATTGTTTTTGGGTGGATGGAGTTTACTCTTGTTGCCCAGGCTGGAGTGCAATGGCGCAATCTCAGCTCACCACAACCTCTGCTTCCCAAGTTCAAGTGATTCTCCTACCTCAGCCTCCCAAGTAGCTGGGATTACAGGCATTCGCCACCATGCCTGGCTAATTTTTTGTATTTTTCTTTTTCTTGAGATGAAGTCTTGCTGTTGCCAGCCTGGAGTGCAGTGGCATGATCTTGGCTCACTGCAACCTCTGTTTCCTGGGTTCAAGTGATTCTCCTGCCTCAGCCTCCCGAGTAGCTGGAAATATAGGTGCCCATCACCAGGCCCAGCTTATTTTTGTATTTTTAGTAGAGATGGAGTTTTGCCACGTTGGCCACGATGGTCTCCATCTCTTGACCTCGTGATCTGCCTGCCTTATCCTCCCAAAGTGCTGGGATTACAGGCGACGGCCACTGTGCCTGGCCTAAAAATGCTTTTAAAAAACATTAGGATGCTTTACCAGCTCTCTTGGATCCTGAGTAGGTGGGATTGCAGGTATATGCCTGTAGTCCCAGCTACTCAGGGCCTTAGGTGAGAGGACTGATTGAGCCCAGGAGGTGGAGACTGCAGTGAGCTGTGATTGTGCCACTGCACTGCAGCCTGGGTGACAGATCAAGACTCTGTATCAAAAAAGATGGCAGCCTTTGCCACCTGAAAGCCCCAGGGGACTCTGGCACCCTTGAGAGCTGGGGACACAGTCCTGGAATTGTGTGTGTCAGCTTCCTTCTGTCCACCTGGAGTAACATAGCTTTCCCTAACCACAATGTCTAAATCAGCTGATGATGTTGGGGAAAGCTGTGCTGTATCCCAGGCCTGAGTAGCGGGGACTACAGGTGTATGCCACCATGCCTGGCTTTCTTTTTTTTTCTTTTGAGATGGAGTTTCGCTCTTGTTGCCCAGGCTGGATACAATGGTGCAATCTCAGCTCACTGCAACCTCTGCCTCCTGGGTTCAAGTGATTCTCCTGCCTCAACCTCCTGACTAGCGCCTGCCACCATGCCTGGCTAATTTTTTTTGTATTTTTAGTAGAGATGGGGTTTCACCATGTTGGTAATGCTGGTTTCGAACTCCTGAGCTCAGGTGATCCATCCGCCTCGGCTTCCCAAAGTGCTGGGATTACAGGCATGAGCCACCATACCTGGTCAGTTTTTTAGCTAATTTGCTATAAAGATGAGGTCTCATTATGTTGCCCGGGCTGATCTTAAA